GCTTGTGGTGTTGGCATTTAACACACTAAGGTGTTCTAAGCGAGTTAAAAGAGAGACTAGTGCGTCATTATCTTCCATTAATGAGGTGGTGTTGATAGATGAAATGTCCACCCAAAAACTGCAAGTAATCCAAACCATCATGCATGCCATCACACACTAATCCAAACCATTAAAGTCTATGCTATCACATAAAAATCCAAACCATTAAGTTCACTTAATGGCCTACAATACTTAGCGTCTTTATACAGGAGGACTGGCATTTGTGCATTTCTTCACGCTAGTAGAGTTATCAGGAGATTACTAGAACGACCACTAAAGCTTATATGCATTTTCAAGAACGTTCTAAGATATTATGAGCAACTTCCAAACATTAATAGCAGCAGAAGGAACTGTTGTGAAATTCAATATGCAGGAGATGTTTTGATAACAGAATAGCCAAGAATCTACCTGTTTATTGTCTGGCAAAACCAGAATAGGACTGAGTGGAAGAAGAGCAAAATTTGCTGACTTTGCAGCTCTTCCTAGTTGGCATCGTTGCAGCTTCAAAAGAAACTGCATGCAGAAGAAATCCATTTCATCAATCATATCAAATGTACATGCTGTCGATTAGAAATGGATCTTGAAATATCAGAGACTGGGAAGTCATAGCTGTTGATCAAGATAAGGATCTCTAGGAACTCTCGGACTTAAGAATCCTGAAACAGTAGCAAAAACACCAGTAGCATAAGTTTTCAACAATGAGGTGCTGCGCGTCAACCATCCAGTCTGTGCTTGTTCTTGTACTTCAAGCATGCTCTTCCTTTCTTCCTCCACCAGTATGTCAATCCACCTCTTAGCCATAAAAATCTTCACAGCCTCGACCCCTTCCTTGATAACTTCTGGCGGCGGAATTACAAGGGGATTTTGGTCCAAGTTGAGTTTGGTCAAATTATCCAGACGACCAAATGAATCAGGCAAGGCAGAAATCTGGTTGTTGCTGAGATCAAGTTCCTTGAGGTTTGTCAAATCACCAAAAGTTTCAGGGAGTTCCTTCAGGTCACTGAAATTACTGCTCAAATTGAGGATCTCAAGATTTGTCAATTTCCCAATAGCAAGGGGAAGGCCACGAAGCTCATTGAAATGAGCATCCAGGTGGCGCAGAGATCTCATCTCACCAATAGATGTGGGAAGAGAAAAAATCTTGTTCAGCTGGATCGAAAGCCTCTGAAGATTCGACAATTCATGTCCAATATTAGTCGGCAAGTATGTCAGGCAGTTGAAGCTCACATCCAATTCCAGCAACGACCTGAACCATTGATGAATAAAGTCCACTTCACAGGATTTCTGGTCAACGGACAAACTTGTAATGAATTAGAATTACCTGCAATGACAAATGGTGTCAGGCAAGACCTCTATCTTGTTGCTAGAGACATCCAGGATTTTCAAGTTTTGCAGTAATCCAATTGAATCTGGCAGTGCTTTTAAGAGATTTGAAGCAAGATTGAGCTCTTCAAGAATTTCTAACCCAGTTATTGAATCAGGAATAACCTGTTTCACTCACACAGGTTACTCAGTTACTAGGAAAAAATAATACAAGTAATAACCATTTATGAAATGGGATTGGACGGACAAACTAATCATCAAGATTTCAGTTGGGGCTACACCAAGAACAAACTTTTTAACAAACTTTTTACTACCATGAATGCAAACAGACAGCACTATGTTTATTTATCATAATAAAAATATCAATCCACGAAGCAAAACAAGTATGAGAAGTTACATATTGCAGTTAACAAGTAAGGTTGGTTCTCAATGATTTGCACATCTCATAATCAGCATTATAGGATTCATGAACAATAAAGTGGGAAAGATTTTAAGGCCAGATTTACAGCTATCGTATAATTATTTTCAACTAATAAACTTGAGGTTTTCCTAAGCACTAAGTTCTACATAGAGTTCCAGCCTCTATCCTACTTGTTTTTTGCATCAATTCTGCTGATTTATCGCTGTTTTATTACTAAACTACACCACAACTACACCTATGAACTCTCAGCAGTATGATCATTACTGGGAAAGCTTTGGACATTAGAACTGCCACATATTAAGAACTAACCACGTTCACAGAACCTATGAACGGTGTGTAAAAGAGAATTTTTCCTTGCTTTCCACCCCAGGCAAGGTAAATCCTACAATAACTATTGCAAAACATTGAAAGAATACTCAGCCAGTAACTTCAAGTAACTATATGATTCTGAAAGATGACATGCCATGTATCTAACTGAAATAAACATTTTCATCTAAAAGCTGAAAATACAATCACACCAACCACATGCACCAGCACTGCTTTAAACTAAAACAAACCCTTATCAGAAGCATAGCTAGCACCCAAGTAAGATACAATTTTCAAGTAGCAAATTCCAATTCGAGCGCTCTATGAAATTCATAGCTTTCTTTTAATGACAGATTTGATATGCACAAATCCTTTTACGGTACCAATTATTCAATACTGGTAACAAATTCAAACCTCTTAATTCATCTTAATACCATAAAAATTATATCATAACTCCACTCTAACCTTATCAACTCGTGCATTAAATCTATATTATCACACAAAAGATTTTATAAATTCACAGCGCATAAAAGATTTCGAGAAACCCAAATTACATTTCTAAACACTAAATAAAAAGAAACCTGAAGTTGATTATTGGAAAGATTAAGCACTTTCAACCCCACAACCCTCCCAAATCCCTCAGGTAAGAACCTCAGTCTCCGATTCGACAAATCCACTCTTTCGATCCCTTTCGAGCTCCCCTCTCTCAACACTCCCACAACCTCCTCAGTCACCTCCGCCTCCACCTCCACTCCTTCCTCCTCCTTATCTTCCTCCACTCCTTGCTCCGCCTTCCTATAAATTTTCACCAACTTATCCTCCGCTTCCTTCAACAACTTCTCATAATCCTTGTGCATTTCATCCAATTGCAATACCATTTTATAAAAACCCCTCTCTTTCTCCGCCTCTTCTCGAATCTTCTTCTCTTTCCCACCCAAATGCGCCCTCCACTCTAACCTATCAATCTCACATGGTCGTGGAGAAAGCACAAGATCCTCCAATTGCTTCGATAAATTGGACTCGATTTCACTGAGTTTGAGTTTCGCTGTGTCCACGGTTTCATGGTCGGGCCGGGGGCCTAGGGTATGGAGCACCGATCGGGTTTGAGCAACATCGCCAACAGCCCGTCTCATTGAAGATAGGAGGGCCGGGTCGGATAATTGAGGAAATAGAGATTGAGGTGGTGGTGGTGCTTGTGATGGCTGTGGTGGTTGCTCGATGTCGAAGGAGGGGTCAGGGGATTTGTGTCCGAGAGAGGGAAGTCGGGCCATGACGTAAGAGAGAATCGGGTGGGTTTTCGGGTCTGGGTCCATTGTCGGATCTCTTGGTAAGAGAGTTGCTGTGATGATGATTAGAATATGTTATAAACGAGAGAGGTGACAGGGAAGAAGGTGGGGATTTTCGTCGTGGATCCGGATAATCGTACAGAACCTGATAAGATTACATGCAGGTGATGTAATTACTGACTTGTCAATGCACTATTGGATGGTGGTAAACACTGTAAATTTCTTCTTCTACAACGAATATGAAAAATATCAGTGATAGCACCAAGGTGTCCGCCTGTATCAAAAAACATGATTGAGCTAGCGGTGACAGGTATCGTGTGTGTGTCTACATATAAACCCAATAAATTTGATTTAAAAATAATATAAAAAAATTATTCCTTTCTTAGTTTATTTCTTCAAATACATCAAATAAAAAATATATAAAAATGTGTCTTTAAAATCATAAAATTCATTTAAAATAATAATTGACTGTGCGGAGTTTAATGTTACCATTTCGATAATGTACTTAATTTTTTTCCTATATTTTAGTTTTATTTATATAAGATTATTGTAATTTTGAAAAAATATTTTAATATTACCTTGATGTTCCATTTATAATTTTCAGTTTTTATTATATTATTAAATAAAAAAAATTATTTATCATATTTTAAAATAAAAAACATAATTATTATAAATTAAACTTCATAATTTATTTTGATTTGTTTTTATTTAAAAAATATATCGATTTTGAATTTCTGTTTAATTTTTTGTATCGATTTTTTAAACATCTATTTTTTTTATTATATTATTAAATAAAAAAGTTATTCTAGAAAAAACACAAAACTAAAAATTAACTTTCCTGATTTTTTTTGAAGTTATTGTGGTTTAAAAAAAATCTTTGTATTAAATTAGTGCTCAATTTTATGAGTATTTATTTTTATTATATAATTAAATAAAAATAATTAAAAAAGTTATTAAAATAAATAGATGTAGTTGTATTAGATAAAAGTTTTTAGTAAAATTCAAGGTTACGAGGTATAATTATGGTAGTGTGAATGCAGATGTAGTGCTAGTAAATGACACAATAACTTCAATAATGGTTGCTTATGACTTGATATAATCATTAATACCTGTTTGTTCTAGTGGTGTTTCCATGATTTAAAAAAAAAAGGTTTTTTTTAATATTTTTTTTGCATTTTTAGATTGTTATGATAAGTTAATATGTTTAAAATATATTGTTAATATATTTTAAAATAAAAATAACTTTAAAAAATAATCTATAGTATGATTTTAAACACTCCCTAGGTAATTGTATTCAGATGCTTCCAATGAAGAGATTATTTATATCACTACAGAAACAACCCAAACGCCGCCCTTCCGGCTTTGGCAGGCTGGGCACTGCAATGTTCAATACCCAAAACATATATATATATATATATGCATGCATGTGACACCATTATTTAATTGCAACAAAGTATCTCCCATTACAATGCCACCTTATTTATTACCTATACCCTGGCAATCAGTTAATAATCTCTTTAAAATCCTTAAAATTTCTTCTCATAATATATAAATTTAGATGTTTTTAGTTATTATTTCATAACAGAGAAAATAGAGATAGTAGAGGGGGAAAAAAACAAAAAACAAGACAAAGCAAAAGATATAACTTTTAGTAGAGATTTAACTTCCCAAGTATGAAACCTAAATTACAAAATTGATGTAAAGAACAACAATTTTACACGCAGATGTCTTAAAACCCTCTCAAAAGGTTTCCCTCTGCCTTTCAGAAGCATCTTCATTCTCAACCTGATAGAAAGCACCAAAAACAGTAGTAAGTGCACATTTTTATCTTTTGCGGCAGATATAAAAAGGTAAACAATTGAAAGGTGATGGTATGTCAATGCTCAGTCACAATAGTTTCTGTGCAAGAAAACTTTTAGTGGTATATATTGAGTTTTCCCCCCTCAGAAAGCTGTGCGCAAATCAATACCTCGTCTTGTTTAGAAAAACATGGTGGACCCGTCCGATTAGTGTTTTGGGGCTAAAATGAATCTTTAAAATTGGGGAGCCATGCTTACACAAAACCAGAGATGCAACTGCTCAGCAACAGCTAATGCAACTTATAAACGTCAGGGAGGGAGGTCAATAATATTTCAAGATGGTGTTTGGTTATCATCTCGAGCCAGGGAACAAAAATAGTTAGAATAGAAGGGAAATGCCCCCTATCCTTCCTGTTTTGAAAGAAAGGAGATTTACTACAAAACTGTTCCAGAGACGGTGTTATTTTTATGTCTCCATCCCTCTGACCAAACATGTTTTTGTCCCTTCTGTATTTATCTCTTTTGTCCAGAGACATTTACCTAATGCAACCTATAAGTTTCATTTGTGTTTCGACTACAAGAGATTTGCATGTCATGCCAACACAAATTTCAGATTTTACACTTCAAATAAATTTTGAATTGAAGTTCTCCATCCCATTTAAAAAAACATCTAAAAAAATAGTGGAGATCTTTGATCACTAACCTCAACCAGAACCCTAGCTTTCTTTTTTGATTTTCTAGGTTCATCTTCCTCCACCTTTCGACGAGCAGACTCTGATCTAATCTTTAACCTCTTACGATCAACTGTGCCCATCTCCTCTTCATCCTCAGGTGCATCATCTGCATAAATTTCAGAAACATATAATTCAAATTGGAACATTTTGCCTCATGTATATATAAGCCTATTGAAATCTGAGGTTTGATATTCACAGAATGAGATCACAAGAATCAGTATAGTAAAACATCACATACTCAAGTGAGCTGAATCTTGTTTTTCAGCAAAAACATAAAAAAATAAAATTATTTGATATATCAAACCTTCACACTTCTACAAATGATTGTCAACATAATCAGCATTCACTTTTAAGGTGAAAAATTTTAATCATAAGAAACTTCAAACACAATCCATATAAATGGAATTTTATATAGCAAATACAGGAAATGGTGTGCATGCACTCAGGGCAGTGAGCGTGCAGCAACTGGGAAAGGATACATGAAAAATCCACACCACACTACTCTCTTTATAAAAAAAGAAAAGACTTTACCATTATTCTTGAGAGACTCGTCAATAGCAAAACCACCAAAATCTTCTATATCATCTTCTTCTTCAAGATCATCATAGCCTTGAACATATTCTATTTCAGGTTC